AAACATGTGTTTACTGACACATCTCAACATACAGCAGCGAAACACATCTTCCCGGATATCTTTTGGAGTGTGATAATAAGTCAGTACTGTTCGAATTGTGTACATATTTTAGGAGCCAGAATACAACAATGATTGATAACAGTTAGGTAAATTCTCGAATCAAACGTGTATGCAAAATTTAAATTTTTTTTGTTGAGGTTCCCCTTTGGTTTTTTTGTTGATGCGATACTGGACTAACTGGTTTACTGGACTAAGCAGATATTAATAGGTAAGATTTGAATGCATGCTCTTGGTTAAATCATCAGCCATCAGTTAATTGCAAAGATGAAAATCATCTATTTATCCCAACGCTAATGTTTCATTAATCTTTGTTAAAAATATTTCATACCTGTATATCCTCATCTTAAATAATAGTTATTGTGTTGTTATTACGTGGTTTACACCTTAATACGACTAGTGTTGATCGCGTTTTATCTGCATTCGCTGCAAAGGAGGTGTATACAAATGTAGTCTATACGTATTTGTGTGGTAGCCGGGGGGTTGAATACACTTTTTCATAAATACAAAAATAATAAAGCTGCGATGCAAATTTAAAAAAATCGTGCTAAAGGAGATTATACTGTGATTGTTTGTTTTAAGTGTTTGTATAAAGTCATTTAATCCGAACGCGGGAAATTAATATTGTATGTTACGAGACTAAGTTTAGAGCATCAGGAGGCTAACTAAGTGCTAAACTTAAAGAGAACAATTCTAATGTTACTTTTCTACAAAGCGTAGATGCTATACAGGTGCTGATATATCACATTGAAAGCATAAGTGAAAGCAATATATCCACGTGCGGCAGACAGGAGAGCGGCAGACATCACAGGCAATGAAAGGCATGAAAGGCTGGGGCGTGTGACCTTCAGTCTTATCAGAGGTCAAGTTCAAGGCCACGGTGACGCCCGCGCCGCGGTTACTGGGTCGATGTACTCCGCTGTTTACTCCTGAAGATTTCATCGCGAACAAGATAAATTCTTTGGTTTTCTCAAGAGATTTAAAGACAGCATTGGCAGCAAATATACTTTTGTCTAAATTTCTCATTTGTCTGGTAAAGTTGTGATACAAATGATTACAAACTAATTGCTGTCTAATAAAGCATAAAGAGTATATGTTAATTAAAATTGTATGTTAATTGAAGTATTTTTTGCCAAACAATCCGTAAAATAAAGTGAATGTTTTAATGAAAAATTGTGAAATATACTTATGCCAGTTAAACCAAGCTTCTATAGTATACAATGCCAAGTGTTGATCTACTCACAATTACAACATGTAGGATTTATTACAATGTAGAACACAACTATAAACAGTTGTAATTTATTACTTTGCTTTCGTAAACTATCTTGACATATCAACGTCATTTAGGTATATTAAATACTAGTCTGAACAACATTTTGGTCAAATACTTCGTTAAAGATTATAATGGTACTAATACCTTAGAAGGGGATACGATGACATAAAGTATTTTTTTATTTATTGTATTTTTTTCACTCCACAAAAAAACTTCATTCAAAGCGTATTAAGCAAACAAATAAGATATAATACTTTTGAAAAATTCCAAAGTAAAACAAATTGACATAGATTATGGCCAAAAATTTATTGATAATGGTAAATTAATAAACTGATTCAAACATACGTACCTAGTGTAAATCAAACAGATACTTTTTTAATTTCTTGTATTACTTGGTAAGGTGAGACATAACATGCGTGTTCCTAAATGGCAACAATCCTTTAATTGATAAAAAAAGTAAATTTAAAGGGTGCTGAGTGTTTAAATTGTTTACAAATAGTTAATTACGACTAAATAGGGAAAACCCTTCACACATCATTCTAACCAACAAAAATGTGTTATGTCCGATGTTATACATTCTGTAGTTATGCAACTAAATCCCTTTTTCTTTTGAATTTTGGTGTCGGAACAAATCGTGGCGTTGCACGAAATGAATTAATTCCTCGCCCTTTCCGACAATCTAAATTGCTCAATCTGAACGTAGATAAGCTCAACGAATTATTATTACAGGTTAGCGGTCAAATTGTTTTATTACGTCAACTTCAGATAAGTAACTCCGTTTTTTTTCACCAGTTACGATGAACTTTGAGGTGAATACCTACGTAAGGTGATTTAAAGAAATATTGTGGCCAAAGATCTAGAAGATAGTACGGTACTTTTAAGGACTTTTCTGAAAATACTGATGAATACCAAAGTTTTTATTTCTAAATTAATTTGTTTGACCACATTAAAGATGTTCTTTACATTTGTGGCTGGCACAAATAAAACTCTCACTGTTGTTTTCCTAAAACTTTTCATAAGATAAAATGGATCATTATTAAATGCTGAAAATAAAACGTACTTAAAAGTGTTATAAAATCGATGTACACTAGACAACTTAAAATTGTTTATATAATTCTGTTTAAATTTGTTAAGAAAGGGTAAAACGCATATGAGATATAATTACTCAAAAAGTAATTACCCTAAAATGAGGCAAAGGAAAAATTACACGTAATTGTATATTACATTGTAAAAACGGCCAAACAGTAATTAATATAATAATGAAGTTAGTAGCTAGGACTACGGATGAAACTATTTATACATTGAGTTAAGAAACACGTCAGTTAGGTGTAATTGTTTGAGTAATCGATCGATTAGTTTTTCAAAGGTTCTGCTCTTCAATGATATAATGGTTTGGTCTATCAGGTGTAAAAACGGCGGATATTTCCAATACAACTACATGTTTTACATACAATAAGCTATAATACCCTCGCCGCTGCTAACCTGTAGACTTTATTTTTACATGATTGGATAACAAAAAGATTTCCTTAAAAATGTCAGATTCATTTCCATAGAACAAAGTTTAATGATTACTTTCGTTTGCTGCCACAGAGAAGGAAATACTGTTAAGTGTGTTTTTAATGGTGATAGCTTGGAATGAAGTAAATGCATTTTCTAAATATGATTAAATTAATTAAAAATTATTAAATTAAATTATTTTCCTGATCTATTACCAAACAAACTAAACCAGTTTCCTTACTGCCCTTAATAATAACATAGCATTTTTAAATTTACACAATTTACACTTTTTATTTTCTACGTTATCATTATGTGCGAAACGACACTTCAATATACTAATTATTATTTTTTAAATGGCTTAGAAAGGAAATTACGAAATTTTATGTTTTTATGTTCAATGTGTATTTGACCACTAGGGACATAAAAACAGAAAAATCGGTCCCGGGTCAAGGTCTTACCATGAGACTTACGGTAACTACTGTATTATTGATTCCCAAAGGGAAATTCGCTAAAAGGGAGGCGAGATATTGATTAGACAGTAGACAGTGAGTACGGCCACCCACAAGTCCTTACCCTTGTCATTAGCCCCTCTAATCACTGGTGGTTGTCAGGATCTGTCCCTTTCCTTTCCCAAGTCAATCACACCTCACTTGTGAAAGGTGTGGGGAGCGAACACGCTTCAAACCCTTTTGTAACACGTTGCGCCACGTATCGTCCGTCGTGTGCGTGTGAACCTTGGAAAGTCTCTTATCTCTGTGTCAACTGTGGGTGTTTGGTGCATGGGCAGATTTATATGAAGGATTTCTATTTTTACAGAATAAGTTAGGAAAATCCTAATGCCACCACCACAGCAAACCTGCAGACTTAGCGAATTTCCATTTGCCTGATTGGATTTACACTAAAATGTCTCCTTAAAAATATCACATTTATTCCCTATTTTAATAGAATTTGTTTAACGAGTAATTAGGTTTGCTGCAAAAGGGAGGATAAAAGAGTTTTTTTTCAATGTAAATAGCTTGTAAGAAATAAATGCATTTTTCCAAATTTGATCAAAATATGTTCATAAACAAGCAAACTACAGCAGATTACTTATTCCCCATAAGAATAACATGGAATTTTTAATTTTCTCCGTTATTATTTGGCACTACAGACCCTGCTGTCTGGTGCTGCGTCCCTGTCGCTCACTAACCCTATGACAATACTGTGAAGGCTCCATTTACAGATAGTCAGTCTATTGTTCACGACAGTATACGCGACAGAGGTAGGAGGCCCCGAGAGGTTTCTGAGACCTCGACACTACAACCCGCACCGTCTACAGACCCTGCTGTCTGGTTCTGCGCCCCTGCGGCTGACTAACCCTTTGACAATACTGTGTGAAGGCTCCATGTTGCAGATAGTCAGTCTACTGTTCACGACAGTATACGCGGTAGAGGTAGGAGTCCCAGAGAGGTTCCTGAGACCTCGACACTACAATCCGCACCCTCTACAGACCCTGTTGTCTGGTGCAGCGCCCCTGCGGCTGACTAACCCTTTGACAATACTATGTGAAGGCTCCATGTTACAGATAGTCAGTCTACTGTTCACGACAGTGTACGCGGCAGAGGTAGGAATCCCAGAGAGGTTCCTGAGACCTCGACACTACAACCCGCACCCTCTACAGACCCTGCTGTCTGGTGCAGCGCCCCTGCGGCTGACTAACCCTTTGACAATACTATGTGAAGGCTCCATGTTACAGATAGTCAGTCTACTGTTCACGACAGTGTACGCGGCAGAGGTAGGAATCCCAGAGAGGTTCCTGAGACCTCGACACTACAACCCGCACCCTCTACAGACCCTGCTGTCTGGTGCTGCGCCCCTGCGGCTGACTAACCCTGTGACAATACTGTGAAGGCTCCATGTTACAGATAGTCAGTCTACTGTTCACGACAGTGTACGCGGCAGAGGTAGGAGTCCCAGAGAGGTTCCTGAGACCTCGACACTACAACCCGCACCCTCTACAGACCCTGCTGTCTGGTGCTGCGCCCCTGCGGCTGACTAACCCTGTGACAATACTGTGAAGGCTCCATGTTACAGATAGTCAGTCTACTGTTCACGACAGTGTACGCGGCAGAGGTAGGAGTCCCAGAGAGGTTCCTGAGACCTCGACACTACAACCCGCACCCTCTACAGACCCTGCTGTCTGGTGCTGCGCCCCTGCGGCTGACTAACCCTTTGACAATACTGTGAAGGCTCCATGTTACAGATAGTCAGTCTACTGTTCACGACAGTGTACGCGGCAGAGGTAGGAATCCCAGAGAGGTTCCTGAGACCTCGACACTACAACCCGCACCCTCTACAGACCCTGCTGTCTGGTGCTGCGCCCCTGCGGCTGACTAACCCTTTGACAATACTGTGAAGGCTCCATGTTACAGATAGTCAGTCTACTGTTCACGACAGTGTACGCGGCAGAGGTAGGAATCCCAGAGAGGTTCCTGAGACCTCGACACTACAACCCGCACCCTCTACAGACCCTGCTGTCTGGTGCTGCGCCCCTGCGGCTGACTAACCCTGTGACAATACTGTGAAGGCTCCATGTTACAGATAGTCAGTCTACTGTTCACGACAGTGTACGCGGCAGAGGTAGGAATCCCAGAGAGGTTCCTGAGACCTCGACACTACAACCCGCACCCTCTACAGACCCTGCTGTCTGGTCCTGCGCCCCTGCGGCTGTCACAGGTACTACTGGATCAACCCCCGTACCAGCTGTACCCTCGTACCTCCACCAGACAAGATGACAGCAGTCCTGTACAGTTCCCAGAGGTTCCTGCAACAGTCAAGCCTCCAAAGAAAACCTCCTCGGTGTATGGTCTGGTAAATATTCGCATCATCTCATTGTTACCCTATCGCAGCTTGTATAGAATTTAGAAATACTTAACTGAAAAAAAATAAAAATAAAACTATAGATCACAAAATATTATTTGGCACAATCAAGAATCCAAACACCCCTCGTAAAGTAATGGTGAAGATAAACAATGAGCTGTTTAGATTTCGAGCAGAGAAATATGTTTTTGTGGTCGATGAATCTATTGGTGGATCCCAATTATGCTTCCTCCAGTTGGCTCCAGCCCAACACCTCTAAACAAGTCATTCTGTTATTTAAAGTTTTATTTTGGCTCATTTGAGTTTTGTTATAGGCTCTACCATTACTCTAAGGTTCAATAGGGTTGTCATAAAAATTAAACTATATGCCTTAGTCCTTGCGTACCATATCGTCTTGGTTCTAAGTGAACAAACAAGTACAATAACTACATTAACAGTAACTTGTAAATCAGATTTATTTGATCGTAAATTAATTACATTAGTTTTATTTGAACTGTTAATTCTAAATTATTTTTACCTGTTATTAACAAATATCATATAAATTTAATTATTTATTTATTTATAGTATAGAGATATTACCTTTCATTACGTATAACATGTTTATGCTATGTATTTTATCACATGAAACCAACCTTCCAAACTAAAGATTATAAATACTGTATCAGGAAGTCTTGCTTGTAGTATAATTAAAGACTGCAACATTTACAGGCAACCCACTTGACTTTATTGTATAGCGTACAGCTTCTAGAGAGCTGCAGGCCCTCGGTATATCCTCATTCTGTAATAGAACCACTGTGCTCATATAACAGAAGGAGAAATTAAAAGATCGAGGGCGTAATAGTTTTTGTTATTTATTATACCACACTTTTCTCGACTTAATATGTTTTTAAATTAAAACTTGGTACCTTAGGCTAGACGTTTATACCACCTGTGTCGTCGCATATTCTGCTTTGTACGGAAACAAAGTTTTTATTTTTTTCAAATATAATTCTTTTATAACATTTATATCTACTTGAATAAAACAAACATAGTGTCTAATAAAAAGGAGATCAAAGGACTAAATAGTACACTAAAGGAGTTAACTCTAGTTGTTGTTTTCTATATACTTCTCTTTGTTTTTCTGTTGTGTAGGTAATTTTTAGATCGTTATTCTTCGGAGCAATTTAACATAAAAAGTGCATGGAAATGTACTTCCTATAAGTTTTTAGGAAACCCATACTAAACAAATCTAGTTACTAGAGAATTTGACTCAATACGTCTTTTCTATATACTTCTCTTTGTTTTTTTGCTGTCTAGGCCATTTTAGACCGTTATTCTTCGGACTAATTTAACATAAAAAGTACATAGAAATATACTTCCTCTATGTGTTTGGGAAACCCATACTAGTTTTTCTACTTCTTTACCATTTCATAAGCAACAGAACACAAAGGTGACTTTTGAGTCACAAACATGTTGGTAGAAACACTTATCGATAAGATATATTTAACTCCTGTTAAGGCTTCAAATGTATTTATTATCTACGTCATAAGACATTATTGGTGCCATATTACATGCTAATACATATAACAATTTTAATTTTTGCTGCCTCTAGGTGCCGAAGAACTACGCATTCGCGTACGCGGTGAAGGACCGCCAGTCCGGAGACGACTTCTCTCACAAGCAGGCGCACAACGGGCAGTCGACCAAGGGCGAGTACAGGGTTAAACTTCCCGACGGTCGTACACAGATAGTGAGTTATACTGCGGACAATTCAGGGTACAAAGCTGACGTGAGGTACGATGAGGCTGCCAAACCCGTGTCCAACCCTCAGGTGTACTACACAGGGCGACCAGCAGACAGTGTGTACTACACTCCTAGGTACAGCGGTGTGTCTAACAGCATCCTACAGGAGCCTGACTACTCTGACGAACCAGAGGTAGGTACACTACTGTTTGTGTCAATGTACATCAGTGGGATTTTTAATTGCAAAAGCGTATGGAAAAAAGATTCGAAGCCTCAAAGTTTGCGAAGGGGCGGATACGTCCTTCTCACACTTATGTCTAAGACAATTACGTCTAAGCAAAATCAACAACGCATATTTTAATTAGAAGTGACATTTTACGATAACACTTTTTCTAGAATTTGGATATTTGAGTTGTAGTAGATGTTATCTCAAGGGTCCAATAAACAATTAAGTTTATACCAACATGATGCCACTACTGATAGTTTGATTTCTTTGATACAATAACAAGCAAGTATTGTGCAAGCCTAAGCCTCTGTTAACAGTTGTAAATACCTAAAGTAGAATATTTGTGTTTACGTGCTAAAAACGAATCCAACACTACAACTCGTAACTGATGGTTTTTGTTGAGTGCCAGTCCTGTCGCACTGTATACTTTCTTTACAGCACCTTTCTGGTAGCAGCAATTACGTTAAACACCACTTACGCCTCGTACACTCTCAAGTATCAAAATACTGACAACTAATATCTAACCCAACTAATGTATCTCTTCCAGGTGATCTACAAACATCCAGTCCACGTTGTCGCCAAGTCTCACAGTGTTGCCGCCCAGTACGCCAAACCCTCTGCTACCCCTCGCCCACTAGAAGTACTCTTCAGTCCCACCCCTAGGCCATACAAGAGTCTACAACCTCTGCAGCTCAGGGCTCTGCCCCAGACGGCCGAGGAGTACACTAGCTCAGACTCTCCTAACTACTACCCCTATGTGTCGTCCACCCCGTCACCTCCTGTGTCCGGGTACTACGCCTCTGCTGTCTCGTCCACCGCTACCCCTATAGAGGAGGAGCAAGACGACATACCCCGGCCCGCTACCAAACCCGCCCCTATCTCTAACTTCTACGCTACTTCAACGACGCCGGCCCCCCATGGGGTGAGGTACATCCTCGTCCCTTCCCACTACTATGATGAATCATAAGTGGAAGTGTTATTTGCTCATTATGTGCCTTGGACCTTTGAACAGTTATACCCAAGTCCTATGTGTATACTTGGCGTGTGTATTGTGTGTACCTATATTATGACTACTTAATCGTTTAACCATATAGATAAAGTCATAGACTGTTTGATTTGAGAGTGCAATGTAAAATTTTGTCAATGAGTACTAATGTAAGTGCTTTAGCCTTAGACTAATTAGAGTACTAAATTTCGTTTACAAAATTTAGGCGGTTTAAGGGGAAGGTTTCCTAGGTTCCCGCACATAGCTTGTATTAATCAGGTGACCAGCTGTCGGCTGTTGTGTTAAAGTTAGGATGGGGTGGGGAGAATCGCTTCCCCTAAAACAGCCAAACCATTGTGAACGAAGTGTTGTCATTTTTTAAAATTAAATCAAGCATTAAAAGGAAATTTACAGCGATGACAAAATATTGGATCCAAAGATAGCTCAACAGGCCTATGATGAATAAATATTTGTGGTGTTTAATGTTACACGCTATAGTCTATAGGGGAAATCACCAAGATGTAGTCAGTAAAGTAACAGATCACTTTGACATAGGTGTATGCCATAACTGGTGCCTAAAGGTTTAACGTATAAAAAGGAGTGAGAATACCAGTCCTCAGAACGTGTTACCGTATTTTGAGTCAGTTACCACGAGTCTTAAGACTTCAATCATGAAGGAACATAAATAAGACTTATATAATACTCACACATTTTACAAATAAATAGAATATGTTAATTTCTAGTATTAATAATTTAAGGTTTAATTTTGTATATTTGTAATAAAATATGATATATTTTGTTTATGTATTTTATAATTCACTGTAATTATACCATTTAGTGATAACCAAACCGTACTGTTGGCATCATAACGAAGAAAAATGGTGCACTACTAGGGCTCACGATAATTTGACAGTTTCAGAGGTGTTGAAATATTTACCAGCCTGATTACTTTTAAGTAAGTATGCTTCGTGTCTTTGTTATTAAAACTTATTGTTAACTATTTTAAAATCCTATATTGATGCAAATTTATAGCAATATACGAAGCAACAATACAAGAATCCCGAGTAGTACCTAATGCTAATTCAGCTCATGTGGATTGGAAAATGTTAATTTCAAGAGAAATTTAACTACTTTCATAACAAATTGGAACGTTTAAAGTACATCCCCATTCTATACCAACAGTGCTACAACTACTCTTATATCTATATACAGCTGTAACAAATATCAGCATCCAACATTTTAATAATGACATGTCGATACATGGACAGCCTGAACGCCAAGCTTGGTAACAAGATTAACCCCCCCCCCCCCCCCAAGGCCCCAAAGCTTGGGCCGAAGGCCCAAGGCAGAAGTGTCGTGGGTTCGGATCCTGGTCACTGCCACTAACTTTTATCAGTACAGTTCACCTTTGTACTGTACCGGCTCACCCCTTGCTTTGCTGGATACGTTCCACGCACAGATCTGTAGTCTATGTGGACAGGCAAATGCAAGGTTAAAAGAGGCCGCCAACCTCTTTTAAAAAAAAACCTATCTGACATTCAACATTGAAATAAATTCTTTCGAAGCAAAATACTGTAAAGCGATTCGATGTTATTAAAACTCCAGTGGACTGTAAAGTGAAGTTCAATCTCGTCTTGCAACCAACTGTTGCAAACAAGTTAACAATTGATTCGCTGGACCCTGAGAGCCACTTCAAGTATTGATTGCAGTACCTGGTATGGTATATGGTAAAAAATACGTTTTACAAGTGGTGCAGTTAAGTGGGTTTTAACCAACAACTCTTCATACCCAACAGTGACCACAGTGACCGGGTTTTAAAGTCGTAACTGCATTGTGATAGTATAGTATACATCGTGTACCGGTAGATTTTATTAGGATTTTCCAATTTATAGCCTGATCATAGTTGTATTTATTCTCAAACGGTATATGTTTATTGATGTAATTTTTGCGAATGTCCTATTTAGGGATCTATTGCCATAGGTCTCATGGTAAAACCAAGCACGGGACCGATATAATGTTTTATGTCCCCAGAGGCCAAAACACCATTTGTTCAGATTCATATATTTGTGTCCGTTGGCACCATTAGCAGTAAAAATCATACGAAATTGATGAAATTATATACAATCCTATTAACCTTTCTTTATTCCTCCTAGGTCAAGAAACATCGTAATTGGACTACGGGAACGGGGTTTTACGGGGGATTTTATGGGGGTAAAAGTTGTTATTCCCATTTTGGCTCCCAATACATAAAATTTTGGAATTATCTTCCAAACCATTTTGCAGAGCTTAAAAAAAACTAATAATTTAGGATATTCAAGTGTTCTTAAGGTGACGGAGAAAATGCCAAAAAACTAAGAATTTAAAATTCTCATTCAGCTTTGGGGATCATCAAGTACCTCAAACATTGATTTTATTCAACGTTACTAATCAAAATTACTACGTAAAATTATTAACGCACCTTGGTTTGTTACCAACAGAAAACGTCATAATGATCTTAAAATTCGAACAGAAATTACCAAATCCATTGAAAAATACATGATCAAATTAGAAAATCATTCAAATCGTCTTGCACTAAATTTATTGGACAATCACAACACCATTTAAAAACTGAAGCGACATACGATATTGGACCTCCCATTTAGATTCAGCTAAGTGCTATCAACATTCTCATGTTCTTCAAGTTAACTTTTAATGTTGTATTGTTATTTAATTTGCTTATTGTTCAACTTTTGAACAGATTGTAAATTAAATAAGGTAATAAAATTGAATCTGATGGTGATTAAACTATTGTAGTTTGCTTGTTTATATATATTTTGAAAACATTTGGCAAGTTTATTTATTTTATACTATGCTTTTATTATTTATTATTAAAAAAAAACTTTTTTACCTTCCTTTCCCTAAGCAAACCTGCGTACTCATTAAACGTAATTTTACTTGAATAGGAAATAAACCAGACTATTTTGAGAAAACATTTTAGTGATAATCCAACAAGGCAAACGAAAATTGGCTTGATCTGCAGGTTTACTGAGGTGGGGGTGTATTTTTTATACTACGATATGATATATTGACGGTGATTTCTTCTGACTCCTAGTGGGCCGTACCCCCTGAAGAGGTAGTGCATCACTGAATTTTGTATTAAAATCCTATACTCTAATACGAGCAATGTTTGCTTGTATGTATGTATGTATGCTTGCTTGCTTGCTTGCAAAAAAGATCTCGAATACGGCTCCGACGATTTTCTTCAAATGTTGTAAATAGTTTATTTCTGGCCTAAAAACGAGTTTACTGCAGTTAGAACTGTCAAGAAAAATCTAATTACGTAGAAAAATGAAACTGAAAATCACATTTTTTTAACATTAGTCTTATGGGTTGCTAGGTAACCATGTTGGCTGAATTAAATAACAAGGAAAAAGTAAACAAAAGACTTGAAGTTGTGGCATGTGTTCCTAATAAGCCAACTACCCACAGTATACTAGCAAATTATAAATACAGTACAAAAGGAAAATAATCCCTTGTTAATATTTAGCAAAGATTATACTGAAGATTACTCGATATTATTGTAGTCAAGGGTAGCAGTGCGAAGTCTGGGATCTGTTTATGACGATTAGATTATGGTATCTGCAATCCTAAATTGCTATGGGAAGGGAAGGAAACAGGTCCGCGACGTAGGGAGTGGTGAAGGAAGTAGTAAAGGCAATCATAAAATGCTATGGGAATAGAGGGAAACAGGTCCGTGACGTAGAAAGTGATAAGGAAGTAATAAAGGCGAGCGGTCCGGAGTGTGGGGACTGTTTATGACGATAAGATTAGGGTATGGGCAATCCTAAAATGCTATTAGAAGGGAGGGAAACAGGTCCGCGACGTAGGAAGTGGTGAAGGAAGTAGTCAAGGCGAGTAGTCCGGAGTGTGGGAACTGATTGTGACGATTAGATTAAGGTATCTGCAATCCTAAAATGCTATTAGAAGGGAGAGAAACAGGTCCGCGACGTAGGAAGTGGTGAAGGAAGTAGTCAAGGCGAGTAGTCCGGAGTGTGGGAACTGTTTATGACGATAAGATTAAGGTGTCTGCAGTTCTGAAATGCTATGGGAAGGGAGGAAAACAGGTCCGCGACGTAGGAAGTGTTGAAGGAAGTAGTCAATGTGAGCTGTCCGGAGTGTGGGAACTGTTTATGACGATTAGATTAAGATTTTGCAATCCTAAAATGCTATGGGAAGGGAGGGAAACAGGTCCGCGACGTAGGAAGTAGTAAAGGAAGTAGTCAAGGCGAGCAGTCCGGAGTGTGGGAACTGATTATGACGATTAGATTATGGTTTCTGCAATCTTTAAATATAATGAGAAGGGAGGGAAACAGGTTTGCGACGTAGGAAGTGGTGAAGGAAGTAGTCAAGGCGAGCTGTCCGGAGTGTGGGAACTGTTTATGACGATTAGATTAAGGTATATGCAATCCTAAAATGCTATGGGAAGGAAGGAAAGCAGGTCCGCGACGTAGGAAGTGGTGAAGGAAGTAGTCAAGGCAAGCTGTCCGTAATGTGGGAACTTTTTATGACGATTAGATAAGGGTAAGGGAAAACCTAAAATGCTATGGGAAGAGAGGGAAACAGGTCCGTGACGTAGGAAGTGGTGAAGGAAGTAGTCAAGGCGAGCTGTCCGGAGTGTGGGAACTGTTTGTGACGATTAGATAAGGGTATGGGCAATCCTAAAATGCTATGGGAAGGGAGGGAAACAGGTCCGTGACTTTGGAAGTGGTGAAGGAAGTAGTCAAGGCGAGCTGTCTGGAGCGTGGGAACTGTTTTTGATGATTAGATTAAGGTATTTGCAATCCTAAAATGCTATGGAAAGGGAGGAAAACAGGTCCGCGACGTAGGAAGTGGTGATGGAAGTAGTCAAGGCGAGTGGTCCGGAGTGTGGGAACTGTTTATGACGATTAGATTAAGGTGTCTGCAATTCTGAAATGCTATGGGAAGGGAGGAAAACAGGTCCGCTATGTTGGAAGTGGTGAAGGAAGTAGTCAATGCGAGCTGTCCAGAGTGTGGGAACTGTTAATAACGATTAGATTAACGTATCTACAATCCTAAAGTGCTATGGGAATGGAGGGAAACAGGTCCATGACGTAGGAAATGGTGTAGGACGTAGTAAAGGCGAGCCGTGTGGAGGTTGGGAATGGATTTATGTATCTCCAATACTAAGACTGCTTTCAGAGTGAACTAATGATTTTCCCCGAGCAAAGCTCGGTCCCCAGGTACTGATATTAATGCCCAGTAGCCGTGTTCCAAAGCTCTATCTTTATCTTTACTTTGGAAATATTTAACCGTCCCGGGATTTTTTTCCACCCTGTATATATTTGCTATAACTTTAACGGTATAATGTAATATCTACTCGGTATGTATATATAATGACAAGCATGTGTTACTATTCGTTTATCAACAGGTACAGGTTAATCACTCCCTAGGGCATTGCTGTCTAGTACATTAGACATAACAACTCCACTGTGGCCATGTAGCATGTAATACAACTGGTATAGGTTACTTTACACTAGAATTTCGTACTATTGCCTGTCCCCTTTTTAACTTGAACTTTTCATTATTGTGTACTTAATAAAACTATCTGTAATTTGTCTAATGTGGTAGCTTATAATTTCAAAGCTTATAAAAAGGTTAGAAAACGTCAAAATGAATTAATAATTTATTGAGGAAATATAGTTCACTGCATTTTAACTGATAAATTTTACTTAAATATCATGCCCAAAAACC